AAAATGGGAATTATTCCCTGTGTGAATCGAGGGAAGCGATGCCGGTGGCAGGGAAGGGGCGGGCGGGGCTGCTCTGAATTGCAGAAGAATCGTGATTATTGTAATAATATTAATGCTAATATTATAATATAAATACTATTGATGTGATTTAATTATTATTACTGATTAACCACAAATCTGAGCCAAAACCATCCCGACCCCATCAAGGTGCCAACCCCGGAGCATGGCGTTCCCAGAAAAATTGGGAGATTCCCGCCCCGCCATCCAAGGAAGGTGACGGAGAAGACATCCAGGGACAATTCCGGTGACAGCCCCGTCCCGCTGGGATTGGGGTGCGGGAAAAAGTGAAACGGGTCCCACACATCCCGATCCCTCCTCGGGTCACTGCTGTCGTCCCGCTTTCCACAGGATCATGGGATGGGATGGGTTGGAAGGGACTCAACGCTCGTCCAGGGACARTTCCCCGACTCCAGGTCACTCCAAACCCCTTCCTGGGCTTTGCTGGACACTCTGAGGGGACACCACCAGCTGGGGGGGTCCCCACAGACYCCTCAGGGCTGTCCCCAACCCTATTCCAACCGTTCCATGGGCCAGGAGGATGGGACGGAGAGGAATTGTCACCGGGAACACCACACACGTCCCGCTGTCCCCTCACTCGGCGCATCTGAGGGCTTGGGGACAAGGCCACCTCACCCCACGTCTCGGAGGGTTTGGGGACAAGGCCATCTCATTCCAAGGGCTTGGGGACAAGGACGCCTCGTTCCATGAGTCTGAGGGCTCAGGGACAAAGCCACCTCAATCCAACATGTCCAAGGGTTTGGGGACAAAGCCACCTCATTCTAAGGGTTTGGGGATGCAGCCACCTTGTTCCTCGTGTCCAAGGGTTTAGGGACAAGACCACATCATTCCGAGGGTTCAGGGATGAAGCCACCTCATTACAAGGACTTGGGGACATGGTCACCTCGTTCCACCCATCTGAGGGCTCGGCCACCTCAGTCCAACACGTCCAAGGGCTCGGGGACATGGTCACCTCATTCTGAGGGTTTGGGGACAAAGCCACCTCATTCCAGGAGCTCATAGACACAGCCACCTCATACCAACGTGTGCAAGGGTTTGGGGACAAAGCCACCTCATTCCAGCATGTCCAAGGATTTGGGGACAAGGCCATCTCATTCCAAGGGTTTGGGGACAAAGCCACCTCACTCCAGGGGTGTCAGGGACACTCGAGGGCTCAGGGACAAGGCCACCTCACTCCAAGGCTTGGGGACACGGCCACCTCATTCCAACGTGTCCAAGGGTTTGGGGACAGGGCCACCTCATTCCGAGGTTTTGGGGACAAAGCCACCTCATTCCAGGAGCTCTTGGACACGGCCACCTCATTCCAATGTGTCCAAGTGTTCAGGGACAAGGCCACCTCATTCCGAGGGCTTGGGGACACGTCCACCTCATTCCAACATGTCCAAGGATTTGGGGACAAGGCCATCTCATTCCAAGGGTTTGGGGACAGGGCCACCTCATTCCGAGGGTTTGGACACAAAGCCACCTCATTCTGAGGGTTTGGGGACAAAGCCATCTTATTCTGAGGGTTTGGGGACAAGGCCACCTCATTCTGAGGGTTTGGGGACAAAGCCACCTCATTCCGAGGGTTTGGGGACAAAGCCACCTCATTCCGAGGATTGGGGACAAAGCCACCTCATTCTGAGGGTTTGGGGACAAAGCCACCTCATTCCAAGGGTTTGGGGACACGGCCACCTCATTCCAATGTGTCCAAGGGTTTGGGGACAAAGCCACCTCATTCTGTGCGTCCAAGGGCTCGGCCACCTCACTCCGAGGCCTGGGGACACGGCCACCTCATTCCAACACGTCCAAGAGTTTGGGGATATGGACACCTCATTCTGAGGGTTTGGGGACAAAGCCACCTCATTCCAACACGTCCAAGGATTTGGGGACAGAGCCACCTCATTCCAAGGGTTTGGGGACAAAGCCATCTCATTCCAGGAGCTCATGGACAAAGCCACCTCATACCAATGCATCCAAGGGTTTGAGGACAAAGCCACCTCATTCCGAGGGTTCAGGGACAAGGCCACCTCATTCCAAGGGTTTGAGGTCAAGGCCACCTCATTCCGAGGGTTTGGGGACACGAACACCTCATTCCAACATGTCCAAGGATTTGGGGACAAAGCCACCTCATTCCGAGGGTTGGGGACAAGGCCACCTCATTCCAAGGGTTTGAGGACAAAGATACCTCATTCCGATGCTCGGGGACACAGCCACCTCATACCAACGCATCCAAGGATTTGGGGACAAAGCCACCTCATTCCGAGGGTTGGGGACAAAGCTACCTCATTCTGAGGGTTTGGGGACAAAGCCACCTCATTCCAGGAGCTTGTGGACACGGCCACCTCATTCCAACACGTCCAAAGGTTTGGGGACGCGGCCACCTCATTCTGAGGGTTTGGGGACAAAGCCACCTCATTCTGATGCTCGGGGACATGGCCACGGTGACGTCCCCATCGCGGAGGATCCCCCCGGGTCTCACCTGTGTCTCGGAGAGGTTGAGCTGCCGCGCTAGCTCGGTGCGCTCCCGGCCCACCACGTACTGGCAGCGCTGGAACTCCAGCTCCAGGCGGTAGAGCTGCTCCGCCGTGAAGGACGTCCGCGTCCGCTTCGGCCGGTCCAGGTCCAGCCCCTTGGGCAGCACGATCTCCCGGATCGTCCCTTTGGCATCTGCGCCGGGAAAAAACAGGAAAAACGTCAGAAAAAAAAAAAAAAATCCGGGATTTGGAGGGGAAAAAATGGAGGAATTGCTCAAAAAAACCTGGTTATTAGTGGGGGAAAATGGTAAATAAATGGAATTAAAGAGCGGAGTATACATGGAAATCTCACAAACTCTGTTCTTCCCTCCGGCCCTAAATGTGGAGAGTTTAGAAATATCCAGGGAAATACATAAATATTAGGAATTAGGATTTTTTTAAAGGCATAAATAGAAACCATGAAGTTTTTTTGAAAACGGAGAGTTTCATCC